TTTATCTTAAAAATAGTAAAAGGTTCTATTTCATATAATAACTCGTGTTTATTATCAATAAATTTGCTATTTTAAATGGTTAAAAAAATTCTTTTTAAATTTTACTTATACGCAACTTATTTTCTTAAAATATAGCGTTTCTTGAGTGTAAATACTTCATATGAGCGTTACAATCTGAAACAAACAATGTCATTGTTTCAAAAATATTATAAAAGAAAATTAAAGCAAATAAATTACAGTTTAATAATGGTTTTTTATTATAGAAACAACAAAGATTTTTAAAATAATAAGAGAAACAATATGTTAATAAATTTACTTAATATAAATTTATAGAATATAGTTTATTTGTTAAATACAAATATGAATCATTAAATTTGTTTATCATACATTTTGTTAAAATTATAATTGGAAATGAAATCACTTTTTATGAATTTCTTAATTGTATTTTTAAAAAGTACTAATAAAAATTAATTGAGGTTGAAAGTCTTTTTTTAACAACAACCATTTTTCTATAATTTTTAAAACATATTTAAATAAAAATTAGTTGAAATATATTTATTGAATTTTTGAGTAGTATTTTAAGAGTATTGTTGATAAAAATTAAGTAATAAAAGTTTTGATATTATTGCTTTTATTTGTATTATAGATTATTTATTATATTGAAGTTATTGTAAAGTTTAAAATTACTCAAATATTTATTTAGAGAAGATTCAAATATACTAAAAAACAAAATATGATTTACAATAGAAACGAAATGAAAAATTTTAAGGTTTTTCTGAATTTATTAAAAAAATTTTATAAAGTGAAATTGTTATCTTTTTAGTTGAAAAAAAATTAATTATATTCAATTTAAGTTAAAATACTACATATTAAAGATTTTTTATATAAATTATTTCTAAAAAATAGAAAAAAATAATTTTTCAAAAGTTTAGATAAAAATAATATTTATATTTTTAATATGTCAACGTAAATAAATTAATTTTTTTAATAAAAAAATCAGCTTTAAGAAAAACTGTTGATAATAAGAACCAACTATAAATAAATTTATCAATACTGAAACTAAACTATTTTTAAAAAACATTATTTTTAAACTGTTTTTACTTTATCATTTTTCATATTAAAAAACACAATTGATGTTTTTTATTTAAATCAATTTTTTAAAAATCAAAATTATTTACTTTTGAAAACCAAATGAATCTTTTTCTCAAAATATTATAAAACATAATTGATTTAAATTAAAAATAACAGTGTAAATTTTTTAAAAAATTTAGTTTTTATTATTTGAGAAAGTTAAGATGAAATCTTTAATAAAAATTGTAGTTTTTGATAATCAAAAAATTATCGCGCTTATAGTTGTTAATTTTATACCCAGTTATAGGCTTTTTGTTTATTCTTAATCATATCTTACTTACTTTCTTTTAAAAATTTCTTTGTTACTAGTTTTTTAATAGAATTCATAGAAATAAAAACTTTAAATTTAGAATGTTATTTTTTTGATGTTGATGTAACAAAAATGAAATAAAACACGTGTTTTTTATTTAAATGTTATTAAATTAATTAAAAATTACATTTACGATTTTCATGATTTATTTGAAATAGATAATAGAAAAGGCCGTTAAATCAAAAAATTTTAATTTAAAAACCCCTTATGTTGGTAGAACTAATTATAAATATTTTGATAAGAAGTATTAAAATAATATTTAGTACAAATGATACGGATGATGATAGTGAAATGAAATTAAAATATGAAATAGCAGAGTTTATGGTAAAAATGGGATCATCCAGAGA